CTCGGCGCGCTGTGCGCATGCGCCCTCCCCTCCCGACGGTGTTTTTCCCGAGCTTTCCCACCGGGAGCGCCGGGGGGTGGGCGGCTCGAGCTGGGAACGGAAGTCTGGCGGGAAAGGGGAAAGGCGTGACCACATCTGGGCTACAGGGTGGGTCAGCTGCATCTCTGAACTCGGGGTTCGAAGCCCACCCGCCCCTCCAGCGCCTCGGCATTTGGGGCGCTGTCGTGCCTGAGCGCCGCGGTGCCTCCTGGGCAGTGTCCTAAGGACGGGGCGCCCCAGAGCCCTTGGTCTTTTCAGGAACTTTTCTCGCTGAAAAGGCACAAAGGGAAGCGGCGTTGGAGCAGTTTCAGCCGCGCAGCGCTGGGAAATGCAGCCGTTCCCTCTGAGAGCAGTTCCACGCCCAGCCTGCAGGTGGCGCCCAGCGGTTCAGTTGCAGAGAAGGAGGGGCGCCTACTCTCCGGCCCCATCTCGGCCGAACACGGGCAGCATAAAGTGGGGGGGGGGGGCGGATTTGGAATGAGGAGACCCCTTGCCGGCTTCATCTCTCTGAGTCTCAGTTGTGTGGAAATTCAATGAGGTAACAGTGTGCACTTAAAAAGCATCCCAGGTGCATTAGCCGGTTTGCCTCAGTGGATAGAGCATTGCCCTGCGGCCCCGGGTTCGATTCGGTCAAGGGCACCGGTGGGAGCACGTGCCGGAGGCAACCAATCGGTGTGTTTCTCCGTCTTTCCCTCTCTCTGAAAATCCATGGGAAAATATCCTCGGGTGAGGATTAAAACAAAAACAATAAAGTCACACAAAATTGATCTCATTTTTAAAAAACATCCTAGTTGCTGTTTCAATGCTTAGATGACATCGGCTGCCCTGGGGGAGCTCACCTTTGATACTAAAGCAGTTCCCCAAACTCCACACTCCCTTTCCCTGACCTGCACAGCCTTCTAACTCTGTCTTCTTCCCGGACCCGCCGGCACAGGAGTTAGCAACAGCCTGTCGCCTCTTCCAGGTGTTTCTTTCCCTCGGACGTTGGCCAGAGCATCCATCGTGCTCTGGACCCTCCGCCACGGGTCTCTTCCCAACAGACTCTGTGGCATCCTGGGCCTCGCCTTCCAGAAGCCTTTCTAACAGTTGCGTCAAATTTATTCAAAGCGCTTTTTGAATATTAGATCCTCACAACAACCCTCTGAGTTAGTGCAACCCTTGTTGTCACCCCCCCCCCCCCCCAACACAACCC